CTCCAGACTTCCATGGAGTCCACCACGGGTACATCACCAACTTGAAGAAGTTTACGGCTTACCTCACTTCAGCCCTGTGTTTCACCACGCCGGGGGACGGGCCGCCCAGCACGCCGCAGCTCGTGCGGACTCATGAAGACAGTAAGTATTCCTGTGCACGCGTCCTGTCCGCGCTGCGCCCCCTCTGAGGCTGGGCTGGGGCGGGGACGGGTCGGGAGGCAGCCCGTGTTCCCACAGGCTGAGTCCCGAAAGGCACTGGCGGCGACTGGCGGCAGGCGGTGCGCAAGCTGTGGCCGAGGTCTTGGCGGGAGGAAAGAGCTCCAGAGACAGAGAACCCAGGCCCGCCGCGTGCCTCCCTAGCTTGTCCCTCACCCAGGTCTCGACTTCTCTTCCCTTCACCGCCCTCCGTGATCCCCCTGAGTGCTCCCAGCCCTACGCGTCTCTGCACTACACGCATCTGGCCGTGCCCAGTTGTTCCCTGTCCACTCTCCAGCCAGCTGCCATGCCTCGAAAGCTCTAGGAGATGAAGCCGTCCCAAGACATTCATCACCGGTGTGCACAGAGGTTTTCTGTACGGGGAGACTCGTTACAGTTATTTGTGATCAGAAAAAAAACAAAAACAGGAAAGGCCGTTAAATGTTCTCAATGGGGAGGACTGGAAAAGTTACGGACTGACTGGCAGGGCAGAAGGAATATTGTGTAGTTATTAAAACCACAAAACTCTCAAGTTCAAAAATTTTGAAGGAAAATGATCATTATATAACGTTAAGTGAAAAAATTATATGAGATACAAATTTTATCAAAATGCATTTATATAAAGCAGGAAGAGCCAAGAAAAGACACGGGAGGAAACAGGTCGCAGGATTGCGAGAGTCATTATCTCAGTGGGGTATGATTACGGGCACTTGTCACGTGTGTGTGTCTCTCTGCATTTCTTAGGTTCTACCCAGTGTGCATGCTCCCTTTATAAGGAGACTTCACACTGACAAGGATACTTTTCTTTGAAGTCACCCAGAGCTGCCACACCTCTCTGCTCCAGCTCCTGCTGGGCCGGGGGCCAGGTTCAAGGTTCCGCCCACTGTGCTGATCCCTGCTGAGTGCGGGGTCCCTCACCCTCCCCTGTGCCGCTCTCTGTCCTTACACTGCCAGCTCTGCTCTGCTCCTCCCTGGCAATGCAGAGGTCAAGACCGACCATGCCCTCCTCACCCTGGCCCTCCCTGGGTGCAGCATCTGGCCTTGGCCGGCCTCCTTGCTCATCTTCCTGTCTTCCTCCCTGTCCCTTTCTGTCTCTCTCCACTACTTCTTTCAGTCTTTTTCCTACTGACTCCTCCTCTTCCCCCAGCAAGTAAGCTCAGGTCGCCCTCACCCCACATCAGCAGCCCCACGGAGATGCACGGTTGCTCCTTGCTTTTTACCAGATAAGCTATTGCTTGGAGTTCTGACCTCTTGTAATCTCCCGGCCTCTTAGCAGCCTGGCTTCCACCCCACCACTTGGTGGTGAGGGAACACCCCATCGGGCCATGGTCTCCAAGTCTGTGTCCAGTTAGGGACGTGGGAGGAAGAGAATGTGAATTGTTTGACCTTTGAGGCTCAGGGCCCTCCCCCACACTGCGGCAAATAGAAAGCAGCAGGACAGCTGCTGAGAGCTGATCCCGGGAGCTCGCGCCACACTCACCTGGGAGCTGCTCTTTGCTGCTGTGCGGCTGAGCTTTGTATTGGGGTGGTTACGGGGTCCCAGGCCAGGGCATAAGGAATCAGACCGGGATGACCGCCCGTGCTCTGCCCAGTTTTCCCCAGAGCTTGCAGTTGCAGAGCTGGTGTGTGCCATCACACCCAGGACACCGACATACGTGAACTTCACCGCTCCGATGACGGTTCCTCCAATCTTCATCGTTTGTGTGTGTGTTTAGTTCCGCACAATATGTGAACACCACCAAGATTCTTCAGCTTGCTCTTTTGCGGTCACTCACCTTCCTCCGTTCTTCCGTTCTACTCTGTATGCCTTTATTTTCCTTGCCTTATTCACAGTGTCTGGAATCTTTAGTACAGACGGCCCCCAACGCACAGTTGTTCAATGGGCAGCTTTTCAACTTGGAATGGCGCAAAAGTGATAGATATTTGGTAGAAGCCACACTGTGCGTTGTGGACTTGGACGATTTCCTCTGCCGAGGGCATGCGGCCTGCTCCCCGCCATGGCCCTTCATCCCCCCGGTCACAGGGGAAACAGCACTCCACGGTGCGCTGTGTCACTGGGCTGGGAAGCCTGCTAGGTGTTTTAAGTGTGTTTTTGACTTAGGATGTCTTCCAAGTAAACTGCGTTCATGACATAGCCGCGTTGTGAGTTGAGGAGCGCCTGTGCTGTGTGGAGTAAGAATGGGGACAGCAGATACTCTTGCCTGGTCTCCGTCTTAGAGG